AACACCGGCGGTGGAAGCTCTTGACCTGGTTCTAACTGAAAGAAAAGGAATACTGTTCCTTACGACCTTACGTTCTTTACCTGCAACTAATAGCGTTTCTCATTAAATGTGGCGGCTAAAAATACCTTGTGCGATTCGAGTGGCGCGTCAAGCAACATTTCGCCGAAAAGCTCTCTACAGTACTGCGCGATCTTGGCTTGCTGCCTTGGATTGCAGTGATTTTCAAAGCTGAAAATGACCGGATAGTCAGACGTTTTGAAGGCGCTCTCGGCGATCGCCTCTATTACATCCCGGGCACAGATTTCAGGTACAAATGTATATCTAAACAAATGCGTTTATATCGTTAATTGCGAATTCCGCATGGGGATTCCGTCGTGTACATCGTAAATTGTCATTCGTACCCGTGAACGATAACGGGCTCGTCGAACTTGCCGTTCCAAAAATCTAACTCGACACATCGGCAGCCAGCGAGGAGACACTGGCGATAAATCTCCACGGAGCTTTTACCGGTGAGTTGATGTCCTGAACAGAGAAAATATTATCTTTGCGATCATTCTCCAATTGCGCAATTCTCTAAATAACGCATCTTAAGGCCGAATCGCACTAGCGACTGCCGATTGAATCGCGATTACTTTTCAAACGATCAGAGCAAAACGATTGAGATTAGCGACTGCCACTCAGAAAATGCTTTATATTTTACAATCGTCAGTCGCAGCCCAATCGGCAATTGTTAGTGTGATTCGGCCTTGACAGATGACTGATGCAAGTCCCCGCAAGTCTACCTGTTAAGTATGTGTTGTGACTAGAATTTATAAAGTAGTGCGGCAACGGCTGATCCATATCGTCGGACAATTCAAATTTCGAGACTGCAACAATCGGATTGTCCTCACTCATGAGATACCTCAGAAAACCGTCGAAACTGAGCTGGCCTTTATTTGCATTACACTTGTTGGGTTCGTACTGATTTATGATATCCTTTGCCCTTGCCTCATTTGCGTACGGATACAATATCTCGTTGAGACGCGGGTCTCTCTGCATCTTGTTCAAGAATTCCACAAACTGTGGGACAGACATTAGTCTGCGCTTGCTATTGCCAACGAGCCCCTCGAAAACCTTCTCCACGTCTGTCCTCTGAGTGAGGGACTTGTAAAAGTTAAAGAAGTCCTCGAATTGGAACTTTTGTAACGGCACGACGTCGCTCTGAGAAAAGACATTAATTGGCATGTAATATGTGCACAAAAATGTTGCAAAGGTGCTTTGGCGTGATAAAAGGAAGAAAAAAAAACCACGTATCTCGATTATTATTAACATTGACACGACGTAAAACTCACTTTGCCGGATGGAAAGCCAGAAATATCAAGCGCTTTCTCCACGCGCTTGCGGTCGTCTTTGTTTTGTGCGAACATTTTTATTATACTGCAAAAAAAGGTTCGAGTATGGAAGTAACGGCTCTTTTTATAGACAGCTTTGGAGCTGGCGTTGCAACGGAACGTCATACTCACTTCTTCACGGGTATCTTTTCAGATTTATCAACGGTAAGCGCAAGCTTGGTATGTGCTTTTAGTAAGAACATAGTTGTGCTGGTGTTTAATTGAATCAAATTGTACGCCATTTGGAAAAGTTGTTCTGCCCAATGTTGTGCTATTTCCGCACGCGTCGTGCAGAAATTGATAAAATTCATATTGACAAAGTCAGAGCCGTAACAGATCGTTACGGTTTTGTCCTCTAAGGAGTCCTGAGAACCCATTGTCACGAAGGACTTCACTTTCGGATCCTACAGGAGAATTACCCGGTTTAATTCACGATCGATCTACCGCCTCATTCACACGGATCCTCCGCGAAGAGGATCACAGTGTATAAATAAATCTAAACTCCGATCAAATATGCTAGCGCACCGATGAGTAAGCAAAAGGCATAAGCTCGCTCGCACGAAATGAGCTAAACACGTAACTACAACGCCGCGTGCAGAAGTATGTCAGCTCGCATACAAAGTTTCTGCATGATTTATTGATTTATAGGAAAACCGATCCGACGGAACATGCTATTATTTCGATGAATACATTACCGCCTTTATCTACCATTGGTACAGACACAATAGATGTGATAAAAAAAGCGAACTATGTATGGGACGCAAAGTAGGTAATGTGCTATTTATAAGCGAGTCAATAATTATTATGTGATGAAGCTGTGCGTCATTAGCGTAATTATAGAAAGACCAGAACTCTATGATGATTATAGTATTAATATT